TGTATCTTTATAGGAACTAGAAGTCTCTTGTTCATTTAATTGAAGATTATTTCACAGACCATCTAATGAATACAGTAAATTCATTTTTCTGTGATGAGTGATACGTATTCATTTTTGAAATGCAACCTAGGCCCTTTTCCCTTTCCATTTCAAGGACATTTTAGACATCTGTAGGACTCAACCTTTTATCGTAATTTCATGCTGGGAAGGTACAAAAGATTGTCTGAACCAATAAAAGACTATTCAGGATAATAGACAAAACTTTAATAACTCAATGATAAATCTTATTTTAAAAGACAGATGATTTGACCTGAGTGTGTTAACTCCTTAGCATGATGTGTGATTTAGTTAATATGCTCCATAGGAGCTAGTTATCTCCTCCCCACGCAACAATCTTCTTTTATAAACCTTCAGTAAGATATACTTGAAAGGACTGCAAATTTATCAGCACTCTGTAAAGACTTCTGGAAAAGAATTGCACTGTCTTGCTGTCCAGCTACTTCCCAAATGGAAGATATCTAAAATGGATGAGCAGTACTTTGTAAATTAAACATGATGTGAGTGTAGTAGTGCAGAACCCACAAAAGCTTACCAGCCTGATTTCTTTCTCAAAACTAAACAGTGATATATTAGATCCCACAGATTAAATACTAATAGTTCAAAGCACCTTTCATTTCAGAAAAAAATATTCTACAGTTGTCAGAATGTATGATTTTACATCTCCATCTGAATCAGGTCAATGATGTTACACTCAGAGCCATGAGAGTTTTCTAGAAGAATCACTGGTCTCCTCAGAAGAACCCGTTCTTGTGTTAAGGTGTTAAATAGTCACATGCATTTTCTAGATGGTCAAGAATCTATTAATAATAAGAGTCTATTAATTTACTGAAATAGCAAATGACTCAGGCATACAGCAGTACAAGATGAGAGAACACAATAAATGTATACCATTGCCATCTATGTGCTAAGGTAGTGATTTATAGTGCTGCAGAAAGAAGAGTAAATTTACTACCATTCTGTATACTGACTGCTTTTGGCATCTCCACAGAGCCGCAGTAGCTGGCATCAGTCTGAAAAGCAGGAGCAAAGTTAATTCTGTGTGTATCCACATGCCCAGAGGAAGGGCTGATTGTGTGATTTTCAGGAGAAGTAAATACCTATCTGTTCTGATTGCATAAACTACACTTTCCTCCTAAAAGCCAAAGACAGCTGAGTTTAAGTTTTATCAGAGCTTTCAAATGATGCATTTAGTGGGGCTGTGGGGTTTTATTTCCTCTGGAAGCAATTTATTTGCAATCAAAACAAAATATCCTTTATAAATGAGAGTGATTACAAACCCCAAAGGTTTGCCTCTATTCTATTAGATGATACAGAGAAGAAGACGAGATTTTAAAAAGTTATGACATCAATATGTTTATGATCTATTATTTTATCTAATGCAATCTAAGGTTTGCACAGTATTCAGGAAGTAATCAAAGGAGATGAATGGGGATGCAATGGATAAGAAAATAAGATGACAAAGCCAACAGAGCTTTGCAGAAAAATGCAAGGCACTAGCCAATGCCTAGAAAAGCAATGAGTAGCAGAAGAAATTTCATCAATGACTAATGAAGGTTAATCACCCAAGTCACCTTTTAATGCTTTCTTTTTGTGATTTTAAAGCAAATCCAATGCTTTTGAGGGATACTGCTGTCACATTGAGAAAAACTAATGAACTGTAAATAGTGACTGAGCACATACCCAACTTTTCCACTTCAAATTTAATTGCATTTCCTTTATATTTTATGCATTATTGTGATGATTTATATGTCAAAGATTTAAGCACATTTAGCGTAGTCAGTTTCTCTGCTACCAAAATTCTGCTTTAATTACATTTCTGTTCATCTTTCACACATTCACCTTCAATTGCTCTATGCATATTTTTAATGTGTGATGACAGTAACTTCTAAAAGATGTAGAGAGTTAAAAGTTCACTAGCAGGAGTAATCTCAGTAAAACCAGGACCCAACATTTACAGCAGAACTTTGCAGAACTTCCACAGTGTCACAGCATCTTCATAGGCTTCACAGGAGTCCTTGGTGTTTCTTGCAGTGAAGAGTTTTGTAGGGCACTACATAGAAATGCCTTCACTTGCTCATCAAACATCTTACAGGGGAAAATACAGCAAATTAAATTTGAGTTGTGAAGGACCCTGGGCTGAAGCAACCAAAACCCCAAGAACATGATGTCATGGGGTCACTGAACATCAATTTAACAATATTTCAAATAATATGTTTAGGAAAGTTTTAGTGTCTATTAGGGTGACTAGGCACTCCTCTAACATAGTCAAGCAAATAGATGCATTTATTTTCTTTATTACTTTCCATTCTAAAAGGGTGTTACAACTTCAGCCAATTTTAGGAAGACTTCATATTAATAACTATAAAAAAATACTTTTAAAATTATTTTGTTAAACTACAAAAAGTTATTTAATAGTTTTTTTCTTTTAAATAACTGAACATTTCTATTAGAGTTCAACTGTAGGCATGATCAAATATAATATTTTTTGGAATTTTATCTTCCAACCAATAGTATTTCCTTGAAAATAGATTTCAAGAGAAAAGAAATATGATCTGAATGCTATATGAAAAATAATTATCAACCAACTACTAACTTATAAATCAGGTTCCTTAATATCCTTATACTGAATATCTATATTTTTGTCATTTTGCCACAGGTTGTACTATACTTAATTATCTCTGTAAAGAAGACAGATGGTCTGTGTTTTATGAGCTCTCAGCCTTCTTCCTCCTTGATTGACCATGCATGCCAATATTCACAAATTACAAAACTTATACTCTCATTTTCTTTAATTAGCCTCAAGCAAAAATATATCATGGATTTGGATCCTTTCTTCTTTTTTCTTTTTTTCTTTTTTTTTTTTTTTTTTCTCTTCTCATACAACATCAAATTGCTTTTAAAAAATTTCGAGATCTCAAGCAGACTTCAATTTTTATAAGAAGTCCCTGGAAATTCTTTCTGGCTGCTATGTCTATAGTATCAATATTATAAGAGGCAATACTTTTGTTGCCAATGCACTTCACTTACTGCTCTTTTACTGCAATAATTACTGATATTTACTGTAGTCAAAAAAACAATCAGTGCTCAAGGAACTTCTAGTAGTTCCCTTTAGAAAATACTCTTTAATACATACTCTTTTTTAATACTTCCATGACTATCAAAATAGATTTTCCATTGGACATGCTCCATCACATTGCACTGAATGCAAGGTCCTGCATCATGAAAACACAGATAAGTGTATGCAACTCTAACTTCAATGTGATTTAAATATGTGCCTGAAGTTACAGAGATTAAAAGATTTCAGTGTAACATACTTTAAGATAAATGACTGCTGTCTAATCAAGTCCTGTGTGAGTTGTCCCCTTTAAGTCTTAAAAATCTGTACCTTAACTTTTAATAATGTATGGCTTTTGTTTTCTGCTTTCCTGTGAGAGGTGCAGCTGTTTGATATGTGGGTCCAGGAGGAATGGTAAACAGACAGCAAAGATCTGAGATATGAATACTGGGGAGTTTTTCGCTGTATCATATATAGCAAAATAATAGCTGCCATGTTCATTCTTTTATAATACTTAGGACTAAATTAACAAGCAATAATGGTATGGTTGTTGTGAATAATGGCAGGATTTTAAATGAAGGACCTTTAGGTTTTTAATTTGTCAATTTAACTTTCACACAAAATAAACAATTTGCAAAAAGAAACCTATTGCATTTTTACATTGTTTGAACAAGTTACTCTATATTTCCAGTACCCCATCCATGATTATCCCATTTGCCTTTGTACAGTATTGTTTATTCTTTTAGTACAAGTAAACTGCTTTTCCTTCTTCACTGAGTGTGATCTACCCTCTTGACTATGTGTCCATTCTTCCTCACGTACAGTGAAGGCTATGCCTACCCATGGCTCTTTCTCGGGCTTTTGCTGTTCTTGGCCTCTGTTTCTGCTCTGTCTTCAGGCTGTGGCAGTGCTTGGGAAATTTGTGTTATATAAATGAGAACTAAAGCCTTTCACAGGTAGAGAAGATTCTTTCTCTTCATGCTAACAGCTTCTGAAAGTAATTTTTTCTCCCGCTGGTCTGAATTACTTTCTATTTGTTAATGTAAGACAGAGGAATGCCAACACACCTGAAACACTTTCTCATTATCTCCAGTCTTTTCATACATGTAGTAACCACACTGAATTAACCTGACTCAAATCTTACATGTCTCCCCAATACCTTCATGAAGCTGAGATAGCCTTTATACTCACCCTCAATCTATTCTGCTATTTCTTGGATAAACAGAAAATAAAAACCATAATTGAGAATACTTTGGCAATAGGAAACCCATTATGTTTGCTCCACTGAAATCCTAACTATTCCAAGTGATTTTTAATCTCCAATTCTTTGTCATGATAATGCATTGTGATTCCATAGGAGTCATTTTCTTTATTTTGTGAGTATGTGCTCGGGGAGTCTATAATCCACACATCATTGACACAGTAAACTCTAATTCATTCTGTACTTTGAGCTACTGTTATCTCTTTGGTCAATAGTTGCTGTATTTGAAAAAAAAAGTCAAGATATAATCCCCTTAATTTATATATATGTATATGCATAGCAGGTATGTATATTTGAAATTGTTTTAAATAATGACTAGCATTTTTTTTTTCTTTAAGCCAAATTTTATTCAAACAATTCAATACTAATTCCAAATTACAGACTACTTCTATCTGCAGATTATTTTAAGGATTGACTAACCCAAAAACTTGTATAAAACAACCAAAGTAATATGTTCATTGGAGTCAATATAATTAGCAGTGATACATGGAAATGACTGATATCATGAGGACATGTTTTGTGGCATGTAAACTGAAAGTAGCCTCTGCTCAAGTCTAACATGATTTCAAAAACACCTAGTGACAAACACTTTTCCAGTATCAAAAAAGAAATATAATCTTTTACCTTATTTAACTCTTCATGGTTTTTCTCCAGTTTTTGGACATAAATATGTCTTCTGTGGCCACCTGGATCTCATGTGTCCTCTCTAAAAGCGCATAATTTTATTAGATCCAGAATCAATGTATTTAAAAAGTAAAAAGAATCACCATTTTTTTCAAATTTCTTTGTTTCTAACAGATCTACTAATCACATAGTTCTTTAGGTCTACTTTTTCCCCGCCCTTTCAAGACTACCCTACAAAAAGGTAGTCCCTAACACCCAATGTGTTATTTTCCATGAATTAAACATAGGTTAACACTATTAATTTCAGTCACTGTCTTAATGATTATATCACCTCCTTAATAAAGAATTACAGTCCCTTTCTATGACACTGTGACACACATGTCATACCACATAAAATGGTTATTGCTAAGCATTGTTAGACCCAGTCTTCTAGTTGTGAAGCTGCACTAAAGTGAATCCATGATTGCCCATGTCACAAGCAACAAAGAGCTCCAGGAGGCCACAGTGTGAAGAGGGTTTCAAATACCTCCCTCCTCTGATTAGCACAGGAGGAAATGCACAAAATGCCTAATGTAATATTAGTTTGCATGTTGGGATAAGGGGGAAGAAATCACACTGTCATACTTTACCTTTAAGATAGCTTTGGGAGCTAGGGAAGTTGAAGCTGCTGGTGACTGATGGGAGTCTTTTCTCCTGACCAATTATTGATCATTTCTGAGAATTGGCAGCAGTTTTAACCATTCAGAAGTGAAATCAACTTGTGAACACCACCTTAGGATGTACGGCTAAGGCTCTTTTGTTTTCTTTCATTTCTGGCTTCTGAAGAGGTAACAAGGCTCTGTCTTGGCCTTCCCCCCCACCTCCAGGCCGGACAAGGCCGCAGAGGGAGGAGGGGGGGACAAACGGAGCCGGCCAGCCTGACTTGGTTTGCAGTTTCTGCTGCTGAACTGAAACCTGACACCATGAACATCTGCAGCTTTCCAAGACTTTAACTCTTTTACTACCTGGATGAGACTTACAGATTACTCCTAGAGAGAGAGAGAGAGAGAGAGAGAGAGAGAGAGAGAATCAGCATAAAAAAGACATCATAAAACCATCAAAGACTGTGAAGAAAAGAGTTAAGTTTTAGATGGGGAAGAGAGAATAAGGACATGCTTTATAAGCTGAAATATTTTTCTGTTAAAGCTATGGAGATGGACAATAGTGTTCTGAAAAAAACTCCTTTAATTCATGACAGAGTATATTGGGAAGAATGGAGTGTTCAAATTGTGGATTTTGAGCAAACAGTGGAGTAATTGTGATACAGTGAGGTGCTAGAACAGAGTGAGGAAAAGTAATAGTTGAAGATTTACAGCCATTGTAGAGGCAAAGAGGAAACTTCTGTTTCCAGAGAAGCTCACAGAGACAGATGAAGAGAACTTTTACCTTTGAATAACTCATCCTTAAAATGACATCCCTAGACTCACGGCCCATACACACCTCAGAGTGATGTGAAATGGGAGGAGTGAACTGATGACAGATTTCCGGGCAGCTGGCATCAGAGAAATAGAAACTATAACAGAAATAGTTTTCTCATGAGAAACTCCATAGATTAGCAGAAGAAGACTTCTGTTTCTCTACACAGGCTGATGAAAAGACTCTAGCAGGCATTGGGACTGTTTTAAACACCAAAGTTCCAAAGTTTTTTGTCTCTATGTTGTCATGTGAACAAGGGAATGATTGGGTAGTGTGGGATAAAGGGGTTTTCTGGAGATTTATTCTGGTGTTCTTATTCTTGTAGTTTTGTTAATAAACTTTCTTTATTCCTTTTAAGTTTTAAGCCTGTTCTGCTCTTGTTCTAATCCATATCTCACAGCAAGAAATAAGTAAGTTTTCTAGTAACTTTTTAGTTACTGCTTTAAAACCATGGCACACACCCATTGAGTTCGGGGGTGTAAGTTCTACTGAATAAGACAGAGGAGCTGAAAATAGTGGAAGTCAATGTGTCTGTAAGGGACAGGTGTGGATCCTTTGAGCAGAAGTTCAAAAGTCCCCTGCCCTTCTATCTTGAAGAAAGGACAAACCAATGGCAACACTCTTGCAGTGAAGCAGATGTAAAGATGTAACTGGAGAAAAAGGTTATCGCCTTCAAAATGCATTCAGTATAGTAAGGGCTTAACTGTATTGGGCAAGAACAGCACAGGTCTTTGGATGGCTTCAGCTCCATCGGACTGCCAGGAGCAGTGTAGATAACCACTGAGGTGGCAGGAACTATTCACCCTCTACACTTTGACTCCTTCTTGCTGAGTGTCAACATTCATTGCTTGCTTACACACTACTCCATCAGGCAGGAACCACCAAATTAAAAAGTATTGACAATGTGCATACCTACTCCACAGCCCACAGTTTTGTAAGGCAAATTTCCAGCTCATATGTCCACCTTTCCTACAAGCCCTGGTTTTCATGTACAGACACCTGAATAATATGCCAGATGAATGTCAGCTCCAACCCAAAAGAATAGTTTCTTCTAAGGAGATCCCAAAACGCACAGATGCATTTGTCTGCACATCACCTTATACAGTTTGAGGGACAGGAAACAAACCACTGGGGTTGTTTTCCCAAGAAGAAAAGAAAACTAGAGAATGAAAGCCAGAATTACTCAGCTTTCCTGTTATGGATGTTCATTTCCATATATTTACTATTTGTATAATAGTTCTACAGCATTACTGTACCCTTTTCCTTCTCAAGTAAGGAATTTAAAGAAGATGATATCAGGCAGATCATGTTCACATTACATAAGAAAACAAAAGCTTCTTTTCAGTACACCAATTATAGTTTTAGTTTTTATTCTGTTCCTGAAGTCTAAGAGTTTTGATTCTTGTGTTAGAAGTCCAGTGTTGCTAGATATCTTGGAATTAGTAGTGAACCTCTTTAGAAGTTAAAGACTCCCTCTCTTTAGAGGGAGAAAAAAGATTATTTCAGTGGTTTTAGTACATTTAACTGTAAAGTATTTGTGATGAAATAGATTAGTGTTCTTTTGTGTCTACTTTTACAGCTGAAATCTCTCAGGGTGTTTCCATGCTAAGTGTGATCTTTTGTAATGCATGACCTTTCCCAGCTTAACCTCATATCACTTTCCTTATAGCTACTAAAAATACAATTTGGGTTTTTTTAAGGCAAATGTAAATTTAAATTTTCACCCTAGAAGACAGGAATGAAATCTGTTTTCTAAGTACAGTGCTTAATTTCTCATTAGACAAAAACTGATTAAGTTCCAGCATCTGCTGATTTAAAGCTTGTAAATGAAAACCTGTGTGGCTTTTTTCTCCTCAGACTAAATAGAATTATTGTGGACTGGATAATTAACTATGGCTATTGTGTCTGAAACTGAAATATCTGCCTGCAGCTGCAGCTGAAAACATTTTGTCTAAAATAGATTGATTCCAGGGTTAATTATCTTGAATTCCAAACAAAACTAAATTAAATCTGGGTTTGCAGTATTTTTAAATGTGTAATTTTTTATTTTTTTTTTTAAATTTCTATAATACACAGGCTCTGCATCAAATAATTCCAGAGAGAAAGGTGCAATACTTCTTCAGTGAAGTGTCAGGGTGGCCATTTCAAGTGACAAAATGACACAGAATTTTATGGTTGCTGTTCAGTGACTTAGACAAAATAGTAATTACAAGAGTTTCTTAAAGAGAGTTACTCAAACAGAAGGCAGTCTTCATATCACTGTGCTGTGACTTTCCAGTCCTTGTCAGAGCTGATATCTGTGAACCACATTCTACTTCACGATGAGGTACATTGTAGCTGATGTACCGGTCACAACCTCATAAAAACATGTTACTTGGACAGCTGCATTGTGAAGAAAGGAATTGTTATTATGAATTGTAGCTTAGAAAGAGTGTCTTGGGGAAAATAGAGTATTTAAAAAAGGGGTAGAGTTGCTGTGGTTATATGCTGCACCACTAAATGAAAGAGAGACATAAACACTAACACATTTACACTGCTTAGGGCTAGCTTCCTTTAAGGCAAATTTCATCTGGAGATGGCTAGTGAAAGCAGGCCAACACTCATCTGTGGAGTGGGGCAACACCAAGGGAGACAGACCAAATCCGAGTCCTGTGTCAAAGCCTGCCCTTGCACATCAGTTTAGCAGTATAGAGGTATGTCTACTACTGCCAGTGGAGGTAAATTCAAAGAGGACAAAACCACAAGGTCTGACCAAATTTAAGCAGGAGATAGCTGAGGAATTACCAAAATTACTGTATTTGTGGACATGCAGTAAGAAACCATGCATATCATTTTACTCTTCCTTCAGCTTTGCTCCATACATAGAGCATCACAAGGAGACCCACGATTCCCCTACACTGAACTAGACTAATTGTACCTACAGAATAATGACTAGGCTGAAAGGAGCCAGAGAAACTTAGTATGTATTAATTTAGAGTGGTCTTTCAGATACAGCTAAATACACTTCTATGGAAGGGAGATCTTCGTTTTATTTTGTAAAGAAATAACAAGTAATGCTGTAGTAAGAAAGAGTTTAGTAAATACAAATCTATAGAAACATTGTGTATTGACAATGTAAATAATTTTAAAAGAGGCTAGCATTTTATTAGCTAAATTTAAAAATAACATTAATGACTACTCTCTTGGTTTTGATGGCCATTTTTATTATAGACATTTTTAGACTTCCTTTTTAATAGAATTCAGAACAGAAAACCCCCTGTGTTTAGGCATCCATGTATAGGTTTTTACCTGAGGCTTAAATGTAAAAATATTCATTACAATCAATGGACATCTGGAATTTTTATCAAGGATCCAAAGCAACACCTCCAGCACCAGTGAAAAGCCATCCTGGCTGGCCTCTGGCTGCTATTCCCTAAGGGTAAGAGACCCCTCTGCCTCTCTTGTCACATTCACCAGTTTAATACAAATGCTTGGACATCTCTTAAATGACATTAAGGTCTCAAATTATGTCAGTGTAGCATCAGGTGTGACTTGACGTGCCTTTGTGTGACTTGAATCATCCCAGTGACAACTGAAGCCATACCTGGCTGAGAAGTATCGAGGAGTCTGGATCAAGGAGTCTGGACATGCATCTTAGGGCATCTTGTAACATAGGTCACCTATGTTTAGAGCAAATAAGTCCCACATTTAAATCTTCTAGCTGCAGGCAACTAAATCAAGTCTCTTGTCAACACAGTTGATGGAGCCTGCATGGGACTGCCAACACATAGGTATCTAGTGCTGTTTAATGCATCCTGAGGCATCCCCACTGTCCACACTGTCGTCGATGATGTCCCAGATGTCCCATGTTGAGATGAAGAATGAGGGATTGGACCACCATGCTTTGAGATGATTTATTGCTCAAGTAGCCAGATAAGATGCTAGTCTGAAGGCATGAGTTTGAGGAGCAGCAAGTCAGCCATAGCTCAAGGTAGTCATGGGTT